AAGCTCCTTGTAGGTCTTCTCAAGCGTCTCCGCGTGGTTAAGGAGTTGGGCAGCTAGCTCTCCTGCAAACTCTGTAGCTCCCAGCGTCATGCTCTTCTTGCGGGCAGATGTAGATTCTACCAGCAAGTCAGCCAGGCGAGCTGCCGCAAGCCTTCAACCAAACGTTCGTTGCGAAACTACACTTCTCATGGTGCCTGACAGAAACCCTGTAGCAAAACACGACAAGCTCATGGCAAGCAACTCTTGTGGCGACTTGGGCTTCGCCAACTCCGAACCGCCGCTCTCCGCCTTTGGCTTGGGCTTTTTCTTCGCTACTGCAACCGTCTCGCCCGGGGCCTGCAAGGCTTCCAGCATGTCTTTCTGCCCGCCCTGCGCGTGCACGGCTGGCAAAGCGCCAGCTGCCATGAGCCCATCGTCCTCGTCTGTCAAAGCTTTCACCATGGCGCTGTCAAGGTCCGCCGTGCCACTCATTGTGGCTTCGTCCACTGTCGCGTCCGTGCGCTTCACCTCACGCCCTGCCCGCATGTAAAACCACTGCTCCTCAGCGCGTCTCTTATAAGAACACAGCCCTGTTTGAGAAAGGGGCCCAGTAGCTACAGTGCTGATAAGGAACCCAACGTTGCCAGGAAAGGCAAGACTTTGACATTTTTGAAAGAGCCGTGGATTGAGAGAACAGGTTTTGGAAACAGCCCTTTTTAGTGGAGCCCTTTGTGAAAAGCTAATCCTGTTTTGGTTCAAGCTATGCGCTCCAAGCTTCGTCCACATCCCCCGGGAAATCCGCATCGTCATACCAAAGACCGGCAGACTTCCGCTTTTGAACCAACAGGTCAAACTTGTCACCAGGGTAATGCGGGCGGAGGGTTTTGCCCTGGCAAGCAATCCAACCAGAGGAGAACATGTTGTTGACGCTCCGCTTGCGCTCTACGATGAGCTGAGTCTGGTTCCAGCATCGTGCGCTAGCTGTGTTGGAAAAGACTTGCGGTTTGCAACGGCGCGGCTAAACGCCTCCCACTCTGCCTTGTTTGTGCTGCCTTAGTTGAGGCAAACAGACCTATCCCACTATTTTTGCTGTTTGCCTGGCAACCGGAACGCTTCAGTGTGGAAAACACTTCTGGACACATGCAAGGGAACATGAAACCGATTGCAAACTGACACCAAGCAACTATTCCTGACTTTCTTTGCGTCAGTGTTGGCTTTGGCGACCACCACTGCGAGGCTCTGCGCGCCAGGCTTTGGCTCACTGGTCACCTTGTTTGGCTTCTGCGCTGGCTCTGCTACTTCGAAGTCGCTGCTGCTTTCCTCATCATCTTGCCCCCCTGCTTCCTCCTCTTCCTCTGGATCTTCTGCGGCTTCATCCTCCACTTCGCAGTCTACCTCCTGCGCCTCTTCCTCTCCATCCTCTGCTTCTTCTGAATTTTCCTCTTCCTCTCCAACCAAGTCCTCACACTGCTCCAAGGGTTGGCTGCCATAGGCGTCCTCTGCTTGCTCAGCTGCCTTCGCGCGATTTCGTTTGAACTTTTCCCAGAAACGCCCAAGTTCTTCTGCTGATGGGCTTCGGGGTTCTGGTTTTCGCGGTTTTTGAGGGAAGCCCCAAAATGCGCGCGGTTTTCTTTTTCTGGTGATGAACCGGGCCCAAAACTGGTCGTGTTTCTTTCTTCTCGCCCGACAAAGCGCCTTAGTCTTTCTGCTGAGCGCCGCCTTGTCAGTCTCCGCTCTTTTGCTCTCTTGAACAGGGCTCCTGCCCCTCTCTGCTCCGCTGCTCTGCTCTGCCCGTGCTGCTGCTGTTGCTGCATCTGCCTCAGCTGAGCTGCCTTGCTTGCGACTGCCTTGCTGACTATAGCTACGCGCGTTCTTTGCTTGCTCTCTGGCATTTTCGCTTTGCGCAGGGCTGCTGCAGCGTCTGCCACTCTTGGTAGGGACTACCGCAACACTCTTGCTTGGCTGTGTCGGGCTCCTACTCCTCGTTTTCTCCTTTGGCCCCGTGCTGTTGCTTGGCCACCGAAGGCAGCTGCGGCGCTTCTGATCCTTGCCTTTGCTTTCCTGCGTAGGGATGCTGCTGCTGCGCTTTTCGGTCTCGCTTGTCTTGCGCTCCCTGCTTTTGCTGCGATGTGTCGGGCTGCTGCTGCGCATCTCAGTCTTGCTGGCGCTGGACTCTCGGCTCTTGCTTTGTTTCTCGGGGCTTTTGCTGCGCTGCGTAGGGCTGCTGCTGCGCTTGTCGGTCTTGCTGGCGCTGGACTCCCTGCTTTTGCTTTGCGGCATAACGCTGCTGCGTGTGCTCTGCGGCGTAGGGCTGCTGCTGCGAGCCTTTCCTGAACTTGTCTCCTTGCTTTTGCGCTCCTCTCTTCTTGAAGTTGTGTCCTTGCTTCTGCTTTGCTGCGTGGGGCTGCTACTGCGCCTTTCAGCCTTCTCAGCCTTTCCTGAACTTGTCTCCTTGCTTTTGCGCTCCTCCCTTCTTGAAGAACTCTTCTTGCGTGCGCTTGCCTGCGTAGGGCTGCTACTGCGCTGTTCAGCCTTTCCCGAACTTGTTTCCTTGCTTTTGCGCTCCTCCCTTCTTGAAGTTGTGTCCTTGCTTCTGCTTTGTTGCGTGGGGCTGCTACTGCGCCTTTCAGCCTTCTCAGCCTTTCCTGAACTTGTCTCCTTGCTTTTGCGCTCCTCCCTTCTTGAAGAACTCTTCTTGCATTCGCTTGCCTGCGTAGGGCTGCTACTGCGCTGTTCAGCCTTCTCAGCCTTTCCTGAACTTGTATTGTTGGCTTGCCACTCCTCCCTTCTTGTCTCCTTGCTTCTGCTTTGCTGCGTAGGGCTGCTACTGCGCTGTTCAGCCTTCTCAGCATTTGTTGAACTTGTTTCCTTTGTTTCGCGCTCCTCCTTTCTTGAAGTTGTCTCCTTGCTTTCGCTTTGCCGCGTAGGGCTGCTGCTGTACTTTTCAGCCTTCTCAGCCTTTCCTGAACTTGTCTCCTTGCTTTTGCGCCCCTCCCTATTCGAAGAACTTTTCTTGCTTTCGCTTGCCTGCGTAGGGCTGCTACTGCGCTGTTCAGCCTTCTCAGCCTTTCCTGAACTTGTCTTTTTGGCTTTCCACTCCTCCCTTCTTGAAATTGTGTCCTTGCCTGCGCTTTGCTGCCCTGCGCGCCTCTCAGTCTTTGCAGCCTTCTCAGTGTTTTCTGAACCTGTCTCCTTGCTTTTTCTTTCCTCCATTCTTGAACTTGTCTCCTTGCTCCTGCCTGGATTGCTGTTTCTGCCCTCTGCCTCCTTCTGGTCACGGACCCTCTGCTGGTCTTGCAGATTCGCTCTTTTCTTGCCGCTTGCGACTTCGGTTTGCGCAGGCTTCTTCTTCAAAGACACCGGCATAGCAGCGCCACACAAGCTTGAGCTGTAGATGCCGATGTGAATCGGGGTACAAACCAGTGCCGAATTGCCAACAAATCGTGGCCGAATGTTGAAGCAGGCGTGATGAAACCATACCCTTCCCCTGCGCAAATTTTCGAGTGAGGGTGTTCCCAACTTAGGACATACAAACTAGACGGGCTTTTACAAATCGTTGCCGTTCTCGACAAATCGCTGCTGAATTCTCGACAAAACGTGGCCGAATTTAGAGCCCAACCGCGGCAGGTCGCTCCTGCGAAGTGTCCAAGAGCAAGGCGCGGCATCTCGCCTGGCGCCAGAGGGTGTGAAAACACCATGGGCGCGCCAACTTGTTTGGTCATGCGCCAACTTGTTTGGTCAAGATTTGGCTGCAAAGCCAGCTTTCTTTTCACCTCAAAGCCGACCCCAATTGGCACTAACACGGCGCCCTTGGCAAGCCACCCCACCCAAACCTTTGTGGGAATTGACTGGTTTTTTCAATCTGGCTTAAGTCCAGGCACCGTGTTCACACATGAATTTCTCGCTTGAGCGAACATCATAAGCTAAGAAAAGCCTCACCGTCCAGCGAGATACTCAAACACTGGCATCAGCTTGGCATGCTTGACCCAGTGGGCGTTGGAGCGTCGGTTCCTGTCAACTTCGCCACCCTTCACCTTGGCGTCTCGCAGGAACTTCTTTGCCTTGGCCTTGATTTTCTTCAAGTTCTTGGTGCGGACAGCTGACAGGGCGTGCCCAAACCTGAGAGGCCACGGTCTGTGAAAAAGAGGGAAACCAACTCAGAGAAGGATACATCCTGTTTTGAGAGGAGAGTGCTTTGGTGATACAACTGCTTGCAGTCTCTAAGCTTGAACAAGCTCACAAGGATACGTCCTCCAAAAAGCTTTGGTTGTTCTCCTGTAGCAATCCTCTGTTTTTTGCGAGCGGCCCAAGTCGGGCGCAGTGGAAAAAGGGCAAAGGGAGAGGAGAGGCTCACAAAAGAGCGCAATATAGAAAGGCACACGGTTTGAATAATCTTGTGTTTTTGCGAGCGGTTAGAGACCCGAACTCAAAAAGGGCCACCTTGAAGCAGTTTGAGCCACAGTTGGAAAACTGGACCCTGCCAAACGCCCCCCTAAGATTTGAGGGGCGAAAGGAGCACGCTCAAGAAGACACCCAACTTGGAAAGGTGCTCGGTTTAAATAGTTTTGATTTTATTGCGAGCGGCTGCGCACAAGGGGGCAAGGCTTATTGCCTTGTGACAATTTGGGCCAAAGCCCAAGTTGGGCGCAGACTCAAAAAGGGGCTTGCTTTTGTGAGCGGTTGCTCAAAAAGGGGGCAAGGCTCATTCCTTGAAGCAACGGGAGCCACAGCCCAAGTTGGGCACAGGTGGAAAAATGGAACGACTCTAAGATTTGAAGGGGAACGCGCTCAATAATTTGCGAGGTTGCTCAAAAGACAAAGCTTATGCCTGGAAACAACTTGGGCCACAGCCCCAGCCCCCGTGTTTTGAATATGCTTTTTCGAATGGCCGGAGCCCGAAATTTGAGTCATAAGTTGTGGACAAAGGGGAGCGGCCCCCTAAGCTTTCAAGGGCATCACAAACATCAAGAAAAAGGGCTCCCTCAACAACAAAGAAGTAGATGATGAGTGGCGCACGGTTTTTAGGCAAGGCGCTCCCGAGGATAGGTCTGGCTCATTTTGAGATCCCGTCCTCCTTTGCAACGCGATTTTCCACTGGAGTCCGTGTAGCGGATAACCATCTCCTTTGAGTGGCACCGCTTGCGAGGATGCTTGTGCAGCAGGAGGTCGTCCACCTCTTCGTGGCCTGGGCCACAGACAAGAAACTGTTTTTGTGTCTGTGAGGGGTGTTGAAACTGGATGGTTTACAAACAAAGGCAGGGCGCTGCTGTACAGTATGGTCCGCTTCTGGGTGTTTGCTCCGAAGTCCTTCATGTCGAAGATGAGCTTCCGCACGTGTACAATCTTGAGCATCTTCTGGAAGGATGGGTGGGTCTCCATGATCGAAGTCGACGGCTGCTCCAGAAGCCAGAAGATGCCCTTGGCAGCAGCGAGAATGCAAAGCACCGCGCAGCGAGCCACGTGCAGATTGCCGTCGGCCACTTTCTGGCTGTCGCCGCGGCCAAGTGGCCTTGTGGGCGACCTGAGAGTCGATCCCCTCGACATGAACACCCAAGTGCTGCAAACGGGTGCGTGAAGCGCCCCTCCCCCAGGAGAGGTTCGCAGTGTCTGGCACACTGCGTTGGCGAAGCCCGCCGGAGAGCAGAAGTCCATGCAATCGCCCCCAACCAAGATCTCGAAAGGGACCGCCTTGCGTCCAGCCTGCGCACCAGGTACAAGGTTGTTTCCGAGCTGTTGCAATGAACTTGCCATGTTTGCGCGCCAAACAAAAACGACTTTGCGACGACCTTATGCACTTGCGCCTGCCATTCTGCCTTTGTCACGGCGCACTGCCCGGCGAACGTCTCCAGGTGGTCGATCGGGCTCCAGTCCAAGTTCGGGCAGGAAAACACAAGCGTCGCCAGAAGGGCGATCACCTCAACCAGCAACTGCCACAACCAACAGCCTACGTGGCAATGTTTTTGCCAAACTCACAGCTGGTGTCCGCTGGAGGTAGGAGGTGAAGTTTGTGTCCAACACGTTGGTCGAAAGAAGTTCTTCTTTCCAGAAAATGGAAAACAGTTATTGCTTTGTGGTGGACATAAGGCGCGCGCAGATTTTGCCTGCTTTGTGGTGGACATAAGGTGCGGATTTTGCCTGTTTTGTGGTGGACAAAAGAGATGTCGCCTGCTTTGTGGATGATATAAGGCGCGCGAAGAATTTGCCTGCTGTGTGGTGGATATAAGGCGCGCGCAGATTTTGCCTGCTCTGTTGTGGACGCAGATTTTGCCTGCCTTGTGGTGGACATTTGTTGCGCGCAGATTTTTACCTGCCTTGTGGTGGACATAAGGCATAAGGTGCGGATTTTGCCTGCTTTGTGGTGGACATAAGAGATTTTGCCTGCTTTGTGGATGATATAAGGCGCGCGCATAATTTGCCTGCTGTGTGGTGGATTTAATGCGCGCGCAGATTTTGCCTGCTCTGTTGTGGACGCAGATTTTGCCTGCTTTGTGGTGGACATTTGTTGCACGCTGATTTTTACCTGCCTTGCGGTGGACATAAGGCGCGCGCAGATTTTGCCTGCTTTGTGGTGGACATAAGGTGCGGATTTCGCCTCCTGTGTGGTGGACATAAGAGATGTTGCCTGCTTTGTGGATGACATAAGGTGCGCGCAGAATTTGCCTGCTGTGTGGTGGATATAAGGCGCGCGCAGATTTTGCCTGCTCTGTCGTGGACGCAGATTTTGCCTGCTTTGTGGTCGACATTTGTCGCACGCTGATTTTTACCTGCCTTGTGGTGGACATAAGGCGCGCGCAGATTTTGCCTGCTTTGTGGTGGACATAAGGTGCAGGTTTTGCCTGCTTTGTGCTGGAAGTAAGAGATTTTGCCTGCTTTGTGGATGACATAAGGTGCGCGCTGTGTGGTGGATATAAGGCGCGCGCAGATTTTGCCTGCTCTGTCGTGGACGCAGATTTTGCCTGCTTTGTGGTGGACATTTGTCGCGCGCTGATTTTTGCCTGCCTTGCGGTGGACACAAGGCGCGCGCAGATTTTGCCTGCTTTGTGGTGGACGTGAAGTTTGTGTCCAACGCATTAACCGAAATGGGTTCCTTTGTTTCTATGGAAAAGCGGGAACCTAAATTCATGATTTGCATCAACTACTCTTATTCAGCTGGCTCTGTAGGATGAACACGTTGGCCGAATGGAAAACACATTTACGCAATGCTGTGAGAGTCCAACGCATTAGCCGAAATAGGTTCCCTTGTTTCTATGGAAAAGCGGGAACCTAAATTCATGTTGGCTCTATAGGATGCCCACACTTGTTAGACAATCCAAATTCAATTCTTGCCAAGCATCAGCCGGAGCACGCAACGCTTTGAGGCCAGCCATGACTGCGACCTTGTGCCTGGTCTTCCAGGCGTCGGATGCTGCAGATTCCGCGCAGGGCCCGCCCGGCTTAAACGGCATGTTCTTCTTCAGGGCTTTCTTTCCGGGTTTTGAAGCAGCGTCCATGGCCGCCCACAAAAAAAGGCACGGTGACAGGCAACCTTCCAAGGCAAAGACAACTGATGCGGCGGCGAGGGTGGAGTGGAAACTGTGGAAACCCTGTCAACTCATGTGTTTGGGTCGAAAAAAAAAACGAGCATTCTTTTCAGATGGAGGTGATGCTTTATTTTTCCTAGCGCCGCATTGCGTGACGGCAGGTGTGCCGAAAACCAAGGCATTGGGTGGACCCTCAACTCTTGCGCAATCTCAAAAAGGCAAATTGCTGACGTGCTGAGCTTCACGTCAAGCTCCTTATCAAGTGTTCCACTACTGCTTTTGCACTGCGCTTGTTTGGGGTCGGGCGTTTCGAACTGTACTGCTCCAAGACTGTTGCGCCCCAACAAGAACGTTTTCGGACATTTCGAACTTGTCACCCCAAAGCTTTTGACCATTGACAAGTGTTTCCACCAAGCTAGTATGGCGTCAAACCACCTTTCAGCAAGAAGGGCTAGCAACTTGACCCCGAATCCGGGCAGGCCTCCAAGGTTGTAGATGGCTCCATGCACACCCGCCTCACGCGCCAGCAAAAAGCCGTTTCTTTAATTGAAAAAGTAGCCCCTGATTCGAAAGCACCTTGCAGTCCACACAACGTGAGGGTTCAAACATTGGCAACAGTGAGCAAACAGCAAGCAAGCCTTTTGCCGCAGCTCTTGAGTTTGACTGCGCAACTGTGAGCTCCCATCAGTGATGTTCACTGGTTCCCTGCTCACAGGTTGCACGGCGCCCCCTAGGATCCTACTTACAGTGCTCATCAGCCTCTATGGCGAACTTGCGTGTTGAGCCTGAAACCCAGCCGCCTTTGCAGCGGCAACCCACGCGGCCCCAGCCCCCTCATACTTCACCCACGAGAACTGCTTGGGAGACCCCTTGACAGGCGCGACGCCCGTCGCAAAGCGCTTGACCAGGAAGGCGTGCCGGGAACAAATTGCTTCGATCGCCTCGAAAACACGCAAGTGCGAACTACATGCCAAAATGTGAGCTTTGCATTTTGCCAAGGCGCGGCAGAGGTTTGGCTGCAAACCAAGGTGAAGCTCTTTGTGCCAGAGGTTTTTTCTGTGTTTGGCCACGCTTCTTCCGGGAAGCCAAGGGCTTGCAAGTCATGCCCTTGCCAGATCCACGGGCTGTTGGCCTCCTCACTGCTGCGTTTTTTTGCTGGCTTGTTGCTGTCAGCCGGCTTGGTTGAAACTCGCTTCTTCTTCTGCTTGTTGACTTTCTTGCTCTCATCCTCGACTTTCTTGAGAATCGCCCGCTTCTTGCTCTTCTTGTTCTTGTTTCTCTTGCACCCTTTCTTCTTATTTTTGCGCTCCTGCTTCGCCTAAGATTGGCACGCTTCTCAACCAAGGTTCCCTGCCCTTCCCCTGAAGCGTGGGCAATGTCCCCTTCTTCCTTTTCGAAGGCATTTTTTAAGGACAAAGGTAAGTTCTATTGCTTGCAAGGCACACTTTGCACACCAGGGGTGTCAACATTATCCTCAATCAGCTTTTTAGCGACTTCCCAACTCTTGGGCGCGGCCACTGCCTTTGCGCGCTCGAAGGCCACGTCCAGGATGTCTTCATCTGCGTGCGCCTGCAGAGCTGTGATAGGCCAGGCAAGGGGAGTTCAAGGGAAGGGCAGGCCTCGTCTTGCTCCAAGCACGTTTCGAGACACCCATTGAGTTTGCAATCTTGGAGGTCCTGCCGACAAGAGGCAAGCGAGCGCAAGCAAAGTTTGATTTGAGCCTTGCTGTTTAAAAAGTCCTGCCACTGCTAAGCGCAAGGAGGCGCACTTGGTGGGTAAGGTCCTGAACCTGGTTTCTGTGGTCCGTTTCCAGCTGAGAGTCCTGCTCAGCCGGCAGAGAATCAGCAAAACAAGCTCTGTAGCGGCCTCAGCAAGACGCGCGTCTCCCTCGCTCCTCTCACCTTGGTCGCAATCCTGCCAGGCTCGCGCAAACAACAGGGAAAGAAACAATGCAACAAGCAGTCCTTCGAAAACTCGCCAACACCCTCAAACTGCGAATCCTCCTGCTGCACGTCCACCCCCGCAAGCTAAGACACACTCACACACGCGCGCTGTCCTGGGTCAGCTCCCGGTCGCTGTCAGAGCACGGGTCCTGCGGAGCACTTTCTTTTAGCGCGCCAAAGAAGCAAGCAAAACATGCTTCAGTCCTCGTCAGCCTCGTCCTCACAGCTCCCGCGTCGCAAGTCCTGGCACGCGTGCGCTCAGCAGCCACAACGAAAAGAACGTTTTCCTGGGCAAGCTCGGAGCCAGAGTCAGGGTCCTACCGCGCTCAAGAAGAACATGAGTTCAGAGCAAAACAAGTTGTCCTTGTCGCACTTGAGCCAAAGAAACCTCTTGACTGAATTGCTCATACAACAATCGGCATTTACGGCCAATGTTTCTTTTCGGACTTCGGGCCGTAAATGGCCCAAGTATGAATACCCGTTTTATGTTTTGTCAACCTGACATGTTTTCACACCAAACGGCAAGGGCGATCCTCCACAGAGGTTTTGCTCACGGAGACTCCTGCGCGGTTTGAAAAACTGACAGGTGAGAGATGTCAAGGCAGCAAGCGGTGGGCCTCGCGGCGTTCAATGTCACTGCGCTGGGAATCCTGAGGTCAGGCTTCAGCAAAGCAAAGCCGACACACATGCGCATCTCCTCAGCTTGCTCACACTCGCTCTGTTGATCGTGCTCCTGCAAGGCGCGCGCGCCCAAATGCGAAAGACACAAGGCCACGAAGCCAAACCTTCCCCTGGTCATCATCGGAAACACGTTGGCTGTCCTGCAGCTTGGGTTGATTGCGCAGGCAGCGAAGTGGGTGCAAAGTCCTCCGCTGGGCTCTTTTCAAGAGACGGCTCCACTTCCTGGGCACGGGCACCAGCGCGCTTTTGCGAGTGCTGGCAAGCACGACCTTGTCCGACCTATGCGCGCAGGCTTCCTGCAAAAAAAAGCAAGCCAAGAGCAGAGCGTGACGCAGGGCGGGCCTCCAGGTCCTGGATGTGTTGGACAAAGTCAGAAGGCACAGGGGTGTCCTAACAAGGTTGCAAGCGCCACGCCGTCAAGAGAAACGCACGCCTCCACACAGTCGTTGTAGCTGTCACTGTCACCGTCCTGCTGGCGCGCACGCGCGCACACAGACATTTACACCTAGCATGTTTTAGCACGCCTGTTCTTGGAGACGCTTGTGAGCTGGCAAGGGCGGTGTCTCATCCATGTCTTGTCCGTCTTTTTCTCGAGTGTCCTTGCAAGCGAAGCAGTGTGTGGGAGGAGAATCACAACCCCCTCAATCCTCAATGTGACTGTGCATGCGTCGCAGCTGAGTCCTGAGAAACGTGTTGGGCCTAACGCGTGAAAGAAGTGTCTGAAGCAAGACTCCTTTTCGGGGTCTCTGGGGCTGGGCTAGCTTGGTCAGCATCTTCCTGACACACAGGCCGGTAAAGTTGTTGCAGAAAGAAAAGCATTGCCTGGATGCCAGGCAGCGGCAAGGTGTCCTCATCATCACCGCCCGCGTCCTCCTGTCGCAGGCGCGCGCGGGAACACGGCTTACGCCAGAAGGGTCCGAAGGAGCAAGAAACCAAGGGTTCCACACCTAATTGCACAAGTTTTGCCAAGACACTTGAGAGTTTGGCTTGTTTTTGAAAACAAAAGACTCCTCCTGCGGCTCTTGAAGATCATGGCCATCTCTGTCCTAGAACGGGTGAAGGACCCGCTGGGAAACACGGCTGTCAGACACAGGGTCCTGAGATTTCCCTTTTTTCGGCGACCTCCTAAGAATTTGCTTCAGCTGCGTCATCTTGGGGTCGTTGCCAGCTTCGTTGGACCGCCACAAATACCTGATCCCCTGAAACAACTTCTTGGTCTTGACGGCCTCCTTGGCCGCAACATCAATTTTTGTTTCACGTTGTTTGGGAATCAGCAGCTTGCCCTTGGTGATGAGGTCCATGTAGAGGTAAATGTCAGCCAGCATAAAGCCGCTGGGAACCTTGGCCCCCCCTTGCAAACAAGCAACGGTTTGAAATTTGTCATTGAAAACAACTGAGGTTGATTCGGTATTTGGGTTCATCTCCAAGAAGGGCTTGAGAACGTTCGCATTCTCAACCACTTCAGCAGCTGAGGCTCTTGTCAAACAGTTCTCCAACTTGACAATGTCACCTCCCTTCCAAGTGCCAGAATTCATAAGATTCAAAGCTGCCGCCGGCAAGTTGGCGAGGACATGCTTGGCCTGCCGTTCCTAAGCAAGTGGCAGCATCACCCGGGAACGTGTTTGGAACAGCTTTGAGGCAACGATTCTTGAAGGAATCCAAGCTTCTACTTCTTCATGAGTCCACTTGATCTTTCCAGGGCCTGATCGGAGAGTTGTTGAGAACTGTTGTAAACTTGAAGGCTTGAGTCCCTGGCGGCAGCTGCGCCAGGTTTTGTTCTCTGGGAAAACAAAGGGGCTCTCCTCCATTGCGGCAAGGGCAAAGGGCTCGTCACGCTGAGCAAGCGCCATGCTTGGGCGCTCTCACAAAAAGGCCGAAAAGAGGCTACGGACAAGACACATGTTCAGTGAACTCTGACGCCTTATGAAAATGCACTCACCTCGCGAAACTTGATCAAGCGCTCTCTGGGCAGGCGTGCTGATCTGGGCAGCCGCGCGGCGGTTGGTCGGAAAAGAAAAAGCCAACGGCTGCAGGGCCGGTCTATTGCAACCAAACTGGTTTGTGGAGCTTCTCCTGTTTTGCAAAAAGCTTGCGTGGGTTTATCACGGTTTAGCGCATCGGACGTTGCCCTGGCAACGCCAATGGGTGTTGCGTCGCTTTGTGGTTTGAGCATCAAAAGACCCAACGCGAAGGGGTTGGTGGCAGCCGACTATGTTTTTCCTTTCCCAGCCAACTTGCTGTTACGCAACAACCTCTGGCGTTGCGAATTAGAGAAGTGAGTACATCCGTCTCTCCTGACAACCCAACAACAGACTGGAGCTCTAACAGTTTAATCACCCTTTACAC